AGTGGAGAGTATAAGAAGGGATAAGGCTGCAACTGAGAAGTTGCTTCAAGAAACAATTGAGAAACACCAATCAGAACTCACAATTCAAAAAGAATACTACACAAATGCTTTGAATGCAGCGAGGGAAGCTGAATCATTAGCTGAAGCACGGGCTAATAATGAAGCTAGAACCGAACTTGAGGGTCGTCTAAGAGAGGTCGAGGAGCGTGAATCTATGCTAGTTCAGGCACTTGAAGAATTACGGCAAACACTGAGCAGAAAGGAGCAGCAGGTTTCATTTCTGTTACAAAGTCCATGTTTTTCCCCCCCCTGCTATGTAACCTCTGTGACTTCTACAGGCAGCTTTTAGGGAAGATATGCTGCACAAAGACATTGAAGATCTTCAGAAAAGATATCAAGTATTAACTGTACTTTGGTGGAAACCATCATGCTTATGCTCTTAAGTCTTCACTATATTCATGTTAAGCTGATATTATTGTCTTTTCAGGCGAGTGAGCGTAGGTGTGAGGAGTTGATAACACAAGTTCCTGAATCTACCAGACCTCTTCTCAGGCAGATTGAAGCCATGCAGGTTATTATTGTTTCCTCATAAAGGTTAGATATTTCTCGTTTGTGTTTGACATCTTATGTGTATTGGTCGCAGGAGACAAATGCCAGAAAGGCTGAAGCTTGGGCTGCTGTTGAGAAATCTTTAAGTTTAAGGCTTCAGGTTTTTTTTTGTTCTGGAAAACCAAATATTCTGCCTGTTTAGATTTATTATTAAGCTGGTATAGGAAAGAATGCTCAGAACTTTGAAGGCATTATATATTGACTTTACAGGAGGCTGAGGCAAAAGCTGCAGGTGCAGAGGAGAAGGAGAGATCCATTAATGAGCGACTATCACAAACATTATCTCGGATCAATGTGCTCGAAGCTCAGGTTTTCTAACTTCTCCTTTGGTGCTATGAGACAAGTTTTTTTATATTTAAAAATAGCTCATACAAAATGAGAGATGCTGCAGATATCCTGTCTCAGAGCTGAGCAAAC